AGTTTAAGGGATCATATCTGTTGGCTATAAGCTTCACTAAAATAATTCTGTATAATGAAACACAAAATTTTAATTTTTTAAAAAATCTGAGCACTATTTTTAAAGAGCACCAAGTATCAATTTAAAAATATCTCCTCTCAAGTACATAAGCCATTTCTTAAATATCAGATATTTTGAAAATAATGTTAAAAAGTGTCTTCAGTATTCTATGATACAATGTAATAATTTCAAACACATTTAGAGTCATAAAATGCTGAAGTTGAAAGAGGCCTGCATTTAGGGCAAAATTTATAAAGTAAGGTAGGCCTTGAAAACAACATATTCAGTCAACGATTATTAAGTGAAGACCATGGTGCATTGTAATTTCATGGATGGTGGGAGATCAAAAGTATGAAATAATCTGCTGTAACTTCTGACCACTTGAGGTGTCCAGATAGTTCCATATCCTCATGTTAGGATGTTTTATGATTTGTGTTTGCACTGCCAAAATCAGAAAGAAAATATAGTGTACTCAACCTAACTACAAAATACATTTGTTTTACAATATAATATAGGCAGTCTCCAAATAACGAAGGTACCAAGAACTGCCTACCAGCATTACATTTTTTCTTAGTCATGCTATTATGTGTATACATACGCATTAATATGCCTACTGCAGTATTATCCATTTTTTATCCCCATAAGCACTGTAACCATAACTTTTAAATGTTATGTAAAACCTTTCAGGTTTTCCGAAGAGAAAATAATAGGCATTAATTTATAAAATTCATTTCTGATTAAGGTTCTGAAATGTCACAATCCCATAAATGTTTTTATGATTCTAGATTTTTAATTATACCTGATTTATTTAAATAAACAGGCCAGGGCATAAACTGCTGAGAAAATTTTTCAAAAAGGACCTAATTTTCCAATTCACTGAAACACTGAATAAACCCTATGTGGTTTAATGTAGTTCAAAGCTGTAATACGTATGCTGCTTTACATTTACTGTGTAGGTCATGTATAAACCTTCTCAGCATTAAAGAGGAGTTTATGATCAAAAGAATAATTCCACATGGTTAAATTTAACAGCATATATTACATAACTGTGACATATAAAAAGAGCCAACTAAGATTACTCTCCTTTTCAAAGCCTCTTTAGCTAACCATTCCCTTTTTTTTCTCTTTTCCTCACCCCTTTTTCTAAATCAAGATATAACCATATCTTGTCATCCCAGGAGACTGCTGCAACTCTCTAAGGTTTAATTCTAAAAAAAACAATCATGAGGTTACTTCACTGTAGCTCCCATATACCTACCATTAGAGATCTGCAATAGTTAGTAGTTAGATCACCAGGATCTAACTTTCCAACAAAGTGAAAAGATTTAAAAAGCTAGATCCAGGGAGGTGACACTCCTACTTGACAAACAGAATAACTGGAGGTAAAAATTAAGCTCAGCACGCCTGCATGGCAATAGGAAACAGCCCAGAATATGAGACACTTTATAAAGAGGTGGGACATAAAACTGAGTTAAACTGGGCGTGCCTATGTTCCAGAGATCTCTAAAGATCCAGCACAAACTCTAAAATTGATAGAACTGCTTGGCCCATTTTAATTTATGTACACCTTTTAGCAAAGACAACATGGATAGAATGTTTCATTAATTTTCTCCAGCATTTCATTAGGAAATTAAATAGAATACATAGATCAAATGCTCCATGCACAATCCCTGCTGTCTAAGAGGATATACCAGTATGACCTGAACAAAATGGTACATCTGACACTGGCTAGAGCTGGTTTTAACAAGAGGGGACAGTTCCCAGGAAAAGTGGACTGTCATTTTCAAAAACAAAACAAAACAAAAAACCCCAAAACACACACACACACACACACACAAAAACTAATCTAGTAAGTAATAGGATTGCCCCAAAAGTCAGCAAAGAAATATAGCACCAACTGGCTGGTTCAAGGGGAAGGTCAAAGTAGAAGACAATGTATTTAGAGCCAGGGTCACAGCAATCTACATGCAAGCTAGAATTTTAAAAGATTAATCTATAGGTAAACAGAAGAAGTCAGTGAGTAAAGAAAGACTAAAACGACACTCAGAAAACTATGAGAATATCCAAGAGGCATATAAAAGAAATAGCATGGCTATCCTCAATAGCTGCCTTAATTCCCAATGGCTTTCCTATCCAAATAAGTTTACAATGCATCCCCCCTCTCTTGAGGTAAGTGGAGAGTCTTTTTTGCTCACAACCACAAGAGCCCAATGTAAAGTCACATGTGATAACCCCTTGCAAGTATTTCCCTTTTACTCTCTACACAGGATGACTATTATCACTGACTAAACAGCATCCGTTTTTGAAATGGATAGAAGACTTCCTTTCCTATGACAGAGAACCCATTCCTTGTGGTTTGCATGGGGTTGGTATCGCCCACCCAACCCTCAAGCTTCTCAAAATACACATACATTCACACTCCCTTTCTGTCAGCTGGCTTTTACATGTTTCCGCCCTCACACTTGCCCATGTGCTTTCTCTAAAGCACTCACTTTCCTACATACCCTCCCACCCAAACAAGAGTGACTATGTGACTCATGCCCAAGCAATCCAAATACACATTCCACTAGCCTCAATGATGTGTTCAGGGCTGTGTACCAGGCCCCAGGTAAACCAGTACAAGTCCTCCCCATGACTTTCATATAGGAATATCAATGGCCAAACTGCCAGCCCCATGGAGAAAAACCTACTGAGCAAGAAAGAAGCAGAGTCCTAAAGATACTGAGTACAGGTAGCCCTATCATCCTGGTCTTCAGGGCCAAGTCACTCTCTTCCCTTAATTCCAGAGTTGAAGTCCTGAAGGAGTCCTAATAATACTCTTTCACAGCCCTAAGTCAAAGATTTATGGCAATCCAGGGAACTCATCCCTCTATCTCACCCATTAGCAGTGGTCTAATGGACTAGGAACTTCCAATAAGTTCACTTCCTAATCATGTAAATATAAAATAAAGCAGACAGCTACTCAAGAATCTAAAGTTGAAAAATAACGACTATAACTGATTCTTCCATCTTTCCCAAAGACCCCTTGGAACTGGCACAAAAAAGAACAGATTGTCCCACTGTTCAAGTTTCAAAAGCTAAGATACCTTTCCAGTAAAAATGTAATTTTCTGATATGAGCCAAACATACACTCTCACAATTCAATAGCACTTCCAAAATCGTATTTGTCTCTGTTTATCTACTGTCTGCCTCTCTCCACCGGGCACGATGAGAGCAGAAACTGGAGGGTCTTGTTTACAGCACCTAGTATATGGCCAGTGTGCTATAATAGTTTAAGAATGAATGAACATAAAATGCCTCTTGTTTTCTCACTCATTCTATAATCATGTATTACTGCTGCCTGACAACCTATTATCTGTCAAGCACTCTACTGCACACTATGGGAACTACAAAAATCAGATATGAACTTAGCCTTCCAGAATGTGTTTCCTGGCCTCTGTGTGAACATGGACCCTTTTAGTTTTCTGAGGAAAATATGAGCACTCTACCAAGAAAAATACTTAAACATATAGACTAAGATTTTGCATTAAATTTTAAGAGATTCACAAGGTAAGAATTCCAGGTCAAGTAAGATAAATAAGAAAATGATACATATAAAAAGTACTGTGGTCCTTTATTTGTTGATTTTTATGCTCTGAGAAAACTTAAGTAGAAAGCTGACCAAGATAGAAGAGAAACACCGAAGAAGTCTCCCAATACTTTCAGAAAATAGTGTATGTTGGGAAAGCTTTGTGTAAAAAGACCAGTAAGGGATAGCAATGTCTGTAGTATGAAAACAAGAACCGCCAATGAAGTTGCATAAAAATTCCGGTTTTCAATATATAAAGCATAAATGAGATAGGAAATTTCTCATTACAAGTAGAGAAAAAGAAGTAATATTGGTAGAATTCAGGCATGAAAAGGTGCCCGATTACCTCGAGACTTTTAAAATGTTTTCAAACCTTGCATTAAACTGTTTCATTGATTTAAGTATTACATAATTAATGTAATTAGTGATCATTAAATTTTTAAAAAGCATTAGTTGTAATTAAAGTACATGTGGGTGTAAGGAGAATAAACATGCGGCAATACAGCCTATATTCTGAAATCCTGAGATGTTCCTCTTGGATCATGAGGTTTCAACCAAACTACTATCATCCTTCTAGGATGGAAGGAAGAAAAGGAAATAACCACATAAGAGTCAACTTCACAAACCAACTCTATCAAGTGCCAATAAATACCATCCTATAATAAACAAGTTTTCTCCATCTACAACAAAAATGCTCCCAAAACTTCAAGTTAACAGGAGTCCTAAGAAACTCAACCCATCTAATTTTCCTTTCTACTTCTCTTAAATGCAATCAATTAAAAAGATTTCAATTACTACTGAGCAAAATTTTCTGACTTGTGGACCAAAAAAAAAAAACCCCAAATAAACAAACCCCCCCCCAAACTAGGTTGTAAATCTACATAAGAAATCTTTGTAGGAAAGATAAAAAAACAAAAAATAGCAAGCTAAAGTTGATGTCCATCAAGAATAATTACCAAATATTAGATTTAGAAACAACCTTAGAAACCTTAGCAACCACATCAATCCTCTCTTTTATTTAAAAAAAACCAAGGCAGGGGCGGCGCCTGGGTGGCTCAGTCAGTTAAGCGTCTGCCTTTGGCTCCGGTCATGATCCCAGGGTGCTGGGATCAAGCCCCACGTCGGGCTCCCCGCCCAGAGGGGAGTTTACTTCTCCCTCCCCCACCTCCGCTTGCGCTCGCTCACTCTCTCTCTGAAATAAAATCTTAAAAAAAAAAAAAACATAAAAAATAAAAATAAGAAAACCAAGGCATAGCAAAAGTATGCCCAATAAGAGGTTGAGAAGTCTTCAAATTTACAGAGCCAGATATAGGCCAAATAACATCAATATTAGTATCATAACATATATTTAATAACTTTCAAATTAGGTTTAATAACAAATCTAAGTACTTACATTAAGGAGTAACTCATCTTTTGTTTTAAGAGGAAAATTCTTATTTTCCTTCTCAGTTTGTAAATCATCTTCTCCATCTGACAGCAGTGGAGGAAGTGATATACAAGAGGAAGATGATGAGGAAGATGATGAAGATGAGGAGGAGCTTGAACTATCTGAATCTGTTTCACTGTAGGGAAGAAAAGTCAAAAACTTAGGAAAGCATTATTATAGTGGTATTAAATTATAATTTTTCAACTAGGAAATATCTACTATGTATTTACTGTTGCTGATATAATTCAAAAGCCAGCAATTCGAAGTTGACTATGGGATTTGGAAAGCAGTCTTTAATCCATTGATAACATTTTCAAAACCCCTGCTATAACCCAAACCCTATTATTATAATAGTCTCACACATCACACGTTTGTCTTAATCTAGTTAAGCACATGACAAATCACTGACAAGAGAAAGGTCTGGACAAGACACCTTTCTTATTAGCCATCAGTGACCAGATCACTTAATTGCCAATAAAATGTTGTCTTCAGGGGGCGCCTGGGTGGCTCAGATGGTTAAGCGTCTGCCTTCAGCTCAGGTCATGATCTCAGGGTCCTGGGATCGAACCGCGCGCCGAGCAGGGAGCCCGCTTCTCCCTCTACTGTTCCCCCTGCTTGTGCTCTCTCGCTCTCTCTGTCAAATAAATAAAATCTTTAAAATAAAAAAATAAAATGTTGTCTTCATACAACTTGGAAACTCCTGAAAGTTACCAACCATGTTGACCACTCTACTCTAAAAATTCCCTTAGCCCTTGGCTTCACAGCAATTGTTACCAGTAATCCTCTTAGTTTAAATTTTGTTTGCTGGCTTTCTCCCTCAGCCCATTTTATGTGCTGTTTTGAAAAGTTCCACCCTCATTTTCTCTTCTCTCTATCCTCTTCCCATTGATAACCTCATTCACTCAAATGATTTCAATCATCACCCATGTATAGATAACTCCTACATCATCAGCCTTGATATTGATAACTCTAGGCTCCACCCCTAATCTCCAGCTGCATACTGGCCACCTCTGTATGAAAAACCTACACTTACCTCATTCTAGCAACAAATTTAATTAAAAAAAAAAAAAAAGCATTCTCCTTACTGAAACTGCTTCTGTCCTTGAGCCTCTATTTTATTTCATTGCTTAGTGTTCAATCCAGTCACTATAGGTAGAAATCTTGGAATCACTCTGAGCCAATGCCATCTCACAGTCAATGATAAAATCCTACCTTCAAATGACAAACATCACTCCTATTCCATTTCTCAATCCCATTTCCACTGTTACTATGACCCTATTTAGGGGGGAATCCTCATTTCTCACCTATTTTTCTGTAATAATTGTATAACTGATGTCAATACTCATAGTCTCTTCCCATAACAATCAACCCTTCCTCCTACTGCTATTACCTTCACCCTCTCATGACCTTCCATCCTAATCAGTTCACACGCTTGCTTTAAAAAAAAAAAAAAAAAAAAAAAAAAAAAAAATCCATGACTGGACATTAGATCTGAAGGAATTATCAATTTTGTTATGTGTGATAACTGTGATTATGTAAAAGAATGTCCTCTTAGAGAACGCATGCTGAAACATTTAGGGAGAAAGTGTCATAGTATCTATAAATGACTTTAAAAGGGCTCAATAGCATGCATATGTGAAACAAAGTTCTGAAATGTTAATAAGTGTTAAATCAAGGTGATGGCTCTATGTGTTTGTACCATTCTTTCCATTTTTTTTAATGAAGAAAACATTAAACATAGAGAAAAGCTTTAAAAGTTTCTCCACAAATCTACACTGTATACAAGATAAAGGCCATCTCAGGGCCCTTTGCAATCAGGTTCCTGGTAACCTTCACAATTCCATCTCCTCCCACATCTAGCACAGAAGCATATAAAATGTCCCAAATCCTGTTGTACTTTCACTACTTCATGCCATTATTTGTGCTATTTCCTTTGACTGGAATGTCTCCAGGACAAAAAAAGGCCATTCCTCTTTATAAGCTCAACTCAAATGTTATCTCCTCTAAAGTCATCCCCTATCCACCAAAAGTAGATTTACTTCTTTCCGTATCGCCCAGAGCATTTTTTTCAAACTGCCTAGTACAGCCTGTCTCGTACTATCCATAATTCATTGAAAAACATGTCTTCTCAGATGGATTATGAAGTGCTTGAAACAAAGGCACTAGTTCTGGCAAGTATGGTCTTTTTCTGTTACAGGGGTAAATGAGCATCCCATTCACAACTCCTTCCTACTCTTACCACATTATGAATCTTTCCCTCTCTCCCAGATCATTCCTATCAGCATACCAAATTCTACAGTACCTCTGCTGAATTCCTCCAGCTATGGCCTCATTTCTCCCCTTGAAGTTTCTTGACAGAGTTGTTAACACATGCTATCTCTGCTCCTTTATTTCCCATTCAGTTTTTGCCCCAAATTGGCTTCCACCACCACCACTCCTTTACAAGGTCACCAACAATCTCCATGTTGTCAAGTCCAGTGGACATCCTTCTGTCATCTTAACTTTTCAGCAACATCTGACATGATTCTCCCTTACTTTCCCAAAAACCTCCCATATTTCGGGGTGGTATTCTACCCTCATGTACCTTCTTCTGTCTCCATGGTTTTAAATATGACCTTCACTTAAAAGAGACTAAATTGACATAACATCCAAATGTACTGCTTGAGAATCTTGTTTGAATTCCAATTCAAACAAACCAACTGTTAAAAGACAACTAGAGAAATATGAATACTGACTGGGTATTAGGTGATATTAAGGAATTAAGGATAATTTTACTACATTTGATAATGACATGGTGGTTACATAACAAGTACTTCATCAGTTAGAAATGTAAAGAACATACAGATAAGGTGACATACTGTTTGAGACTTCCTCTAAAAATCTCAGGTTAAAAAAAATGTTAGAAATACTAGATAAAACAAGATTAGCAAAATACTGGAAACCATTTGTTTAAGTGTGGTAATGAGTACATTTGCATTCATTATATTACTCTCTACTTTTAACAAATTTGAAAATGTCCATAATAAAAAGTTAAAGTAAATCCTATCTGTAATCTCATGTTCAAATTTACATCTCCAGTCCAGAATTGTCCTCCCAACTTTAAATTCATTATCCTACTGCTTCCCTGACATCTCCAATTAGCTGTCAAAGAAATCTCAAATAAACTGTCCAAATTAAACACTCATCCCAGATAGGTTACCCCCCATTTTACTAAACAGCACCATCATCCACACAGTTGATGCCTCCTTGTCTAGCCCACTACCCCATTTATCAAAATACTTAACTCCGATAGCCATGGTCACGTCATGGACTCAATTCAACATCTTTCCAACTCTTTCCACACTAAGCCCTGTTCCACTCGTGCCTCTCTGCTTTCACTCTTGAACCCAGTTCAATTCCTTCTCTACAGAGCAAAGCTTATTAGAATATTAACCTGAGCATGCCATTTCTCTGCTTAAAATTAAGTAGCTTCCCTAACACTTAGAATTTAAAACTTTAACATGGCTACACAGTCTTAAAGGGCTGGGCTCTCCTATTACTTTCTCCATGCCTTGCTTGTTCCTTCATTGTAATTTTCACCACCTCTAATTTATGTATTGATGTATTTAGTTTTATTTTTCATCCTTCTCATTAGGGATATTTTGTTCACCTATTCAGTATCCCACGTAACACACTCAAATACTTGTAGACAACGTTCAGTGTGATTTAGTAACATCCTATAACCTTAAGTCCTCTCTCACCATAGGTTTCACATTTAAAAGACACGGCGGCGGGGGGGCGCGGGGGGTGCTGTCTATAAAACCTACCCAGATCATAAAACAATGCGAAATAACAATGTTTCACTAATTTCATGAACACTTGCTCCCTGCAAGGATTCTACAAAATTATCAGGACCCAAACTGGAAACGTATGAAATCCTTTAACTGGTCCTTAATTCATCTGGTTCAAAAAACAAGGCCACACTCTAAACCTGATTTAAAAAAAAAAAAAAAAAAAGGTCTGACACAAAATTCAAAGTTAAAACCACAAAGGGACACGCCAAATTGAGTGGTTATCGAAATAATCCAATATCCTCAGGGTTTGTTTTTTGTTTTTGCGATCTATACATAAGACATTTCATACTACCAAATTTAGGAAGAAGAGGGATCTGATTATTAATCTCGGATTCGCAACGCGATTTGCAGAGAAGGGCGAAGAATGGGCGGTCCGAGCTACTCGTCAACACGTGCGCAGCAAGCTTCAGCTACCTCTCCTCTCCCCCAGGCCCACGCGGGCACCCGCTCAGTCCCCGACCCCGGCTTCCCCCTCTGCCCCGCCCCCCCCACCGCAGCTCCAGAATCCCCAGGCACCCGACCTGTCCGAGTCCGAATCCGAGTCCGAGGTCTCTAGAGAGTCTGGAGTCCCCGCCTGCTCTGCGGCGCTCGGGGCGGTGACGCAGTTCCCTCCGGGTGGAGGTTCTGACCTTGACTGCAGCGCAAATTCAGGGGGCTGCTCCTCTGCAGGCTGAGCCTCCGCGGCCTGTCCGGTGTGCGGGGACGCCTCATCCGATTGCAGTGACGGCCGTGGCTGTGGGACAGGTACAGAGCCCGGAGACCGCACCGCCTGACCTTGGCCATCCCCCAAACCGGTGCCATTAAATTTCAGAGTTTCCAGCTGAGCGGCGGCGGCCTCCACTACTTCCATGCCGTAGCGCCAGAGACCCAGTCAGGCTCACGTTCAGGGCCCCCAGAAGGCTCGCGGCTCGCTAGAGAAGAGATAGAACAACCGCGCGTCTTGTAACCGCACCTGGGCCCAACTTCCCGCGTTTCTCCGGTAACTACACGCCGAGCTGCCTGGAGACACGCCCCCGCCGTTTACAGGGCGGCACTTCCGGGGGAGCGTACTACGTGACGTGACGCGATTGCGCTCAGTGGGAGCGGGACCGGGCTTTTGGAAACCAGGCCACGCGCGGTCCTAAACCCGCCGTTTTCATGACCTCCTCGAGCTACAGCTCCATCCTCGGGTCAAGTGGCTAGGCTTTCCTTTCACTGGCTGTGGGCCAATTCTACTTGGAGCGGAGATGCGAAGGAGGGCTTGTAGGACAGGGGGGACACCTGATTGCACGAGTCTCTGTACGTAAGAAACTTGAGCCAGGAAGTCTTGAACAGACACGTCTGGTAAACTTCATTAAAGTTAAATGAAGCTGAATCGATAGAGAGCAAGCACGTTAACCATTCATCTCAAAAAAATTACTACAACTATTCCTTGTGTTTCTCCAAAGCACTCTCAAAAAGAGCAGTAGCAGTGGACGTAATGTTGCTGCTTGTTGATGTTATGACGATGTCTATATGGTAGTTGACGCCACTTCATAGAAAGAGTGGGATGGGACTAAAATGAACTAACTTTAGCCGGGGAAACGATTACTCTAGATCATAAAGGAAGATAAAGCAAGAAGTTCTTCGGACTGAGGCAGAGATCAGAATTTTATGGGGTTTTTTTTAGGACTTCATTCGATGCATCAGCCCCTCCAGCAATAATAAATAATAATCCTTGTTACCATTTATTAAGCATGCATATGTGCCAAGGACGGTGCTAAAGATTTTATCAGTTACTCACTGAGAATGTATTGTGTGCACACCACAGTGGCAGACCTTCATAGAAACTTAAGAGTAATACGTAGTCTCTTATTTTAAGGAGCTTACTCTCTAATTGAAGTAAAAAGGTCAATGCACGGGGCGCCTGGGTGGCTCAGTCGGTTAAGCGGCTGCCTTCGGCTCAGGTCATGATCCCAGGGTACCGGGATCGAGCCCCGCATCGGGCTCCCTGCTCGGCGGAGAGCCTGCTTCTCCCTCTCCCTCTGTCTGCCGCTCTGCCTACTTGTGCTCTCTCTCTCTCTCTCTCTGTTAAATAAATAAAAATCTTAAAAAAAAAAAAGGTCAATGCACAGTAGATAACTAGAAAAATATTTGAAATGTGTAATACAGGACGCAAGTTCAGCAGTCATAGGAAGTTAAGTAAAACTGGTGGGCTGTATCATGGAAAGCCTCCAAAGAGAAACAGGAATTTAAACTTGAGATACCACTCAATGCAGTTATTAACCTAAAGCTCAGTGTTCCCAGCTAAATAGACCTGTGTTCAAATTTCAGCCCTACCGTTTCCTTATTGCTGTAATTGTAACTTTGAGCAGGTAGTCTAACATAGCTAACACTCGTTTTCCTTACCTATAAGATGGAGATAAAAATACTATCTCGTTTAGTTCATGTGAGCACTGATTAAGGTTTTATACAAGAAAATGGCACGTGCCATACACATACTAGTGTGAGAAATGGTTGATAAATAGAACAATGAATGAACTTATGAATAAAATGATACTTCAGTAACAATGATCTTGCAGAGATATGCAGTACGAATGTGAAGAAAGAAGAAATTTAAGTCAGAATGTCTTTCCCGCCAGGTAAAGGTCTGTTGCATGCTTCCGGTAATTAAGCAATGAAAGTCTGAACCAGGGTTAGAGTCAATGCAGTCGAGTAAAGGAAATCCCCAACATCAGAAGAATCAAAGTACTCTAAAATTTCTAACTGAGGAAACTAGAAAGAAGTTGGTATTACCAGTAAATACAGAGAAGTTGGAATGAGATGAATGGAAGAATGAAAAAGAAAACAAATAATGAAGTTTTATGAAACAATCACAGTAAAAGAGAAATGACAGATAAAGGTACAGATGGTACCTAAGTTATTCATTCAGTTTAAATGAATCCAATGATATCTAAGAAAGGCTACTGGTTTCGAATAAAAATCTCTGTTTTTGAGGTGGGATGGTCTCCATGTTTCAGGATAAGAATAGCTGTACCTCTGCCTAGATTTAGACTATGTTACTATTTTGTAATTGGTATTTTTTTTCTAAGCTCTTGAATGTTTCAAAAATGTCTTGAATTTACCTACTTCCAGAGCTCACCTCTCTAACTGCATTACTTCCAACAGCTGCTAAACTTAGCCTGAAATCTTTAGCCTTAGACTAAAACCTAAAAAACAAAACAAAACAAAAAAAAACAACTCCTAGAAAGAATAAGTAGTTTATGGGATCACATTAAAATTAAGAAAATTTGTCTTGAACTAAATTATGAATTACAAGTCATATTATACTTCAAAGTGAACTTGTAAAACACCTAAACATATTCTTTGAAGTACAAAAACAAAGTTTATGAAAAGAAATTCACTTGAAAAAATTTTGCAAGTTCACCCATCTCTACTTATTATAAAGATTGTAAAATTTTACAAAAACAAAAAACAAACTGACAACAAACTCTTAGTGCCATTTTCACTGATTTGCAGTGTCTTGCTTCTCAAAATGTACATAGCAGCTTTGGTATCACGTGGAAACTTGTTAAAGACTGCCAAAGCTCAGGCTCCACCTTCTGAGTTAGAATCTGCATTTTTAACAATATTCCTCATGTGATTTGCATGCACGGTAAACTTAAGGAAAATCTGCCCTGGTGGCTATGTGAGGGTGGGACAAGCATAGTGCTTAAAAGTAAAATGAATGAAAGCCTTTTGCAAGAATAGTTGAAGTGCTAGACCATTGAGTCTAAGCTAAATAGACTGAGCAGGGGCACCTGGGTGGCTCAGACCATTAAGCATCCAACTCTTGATTTCAGCTCAGGTCATGATCTCAGGGTCCTGAGATCAAGCCCCATGTGAGCCTGCTTTGGATTCTCTCTCTCCTCTCTCTCTGACCCTCCCCCCTCTAAATAATAGTAATAATAATAATGAATAAATAGACTGAGCAGTTTGTTGTCTGTTGATACCTCTACCTGGATGCCTGAAAGGCACCTCAAACTCTAATACCCAAGACTGATCTCAGCATCCTTTCTCCTATATTTCTACTCCTTTATCTCCTATTCTGGTAATGCCACCTATATCTACCTGGCCACTCACTATATACTAAATCTGACTCATCAATTTGCTGTGTGACTAAATCCAAGTCACTTAATTTTCTGTGTCTAATATTTATTCACTCATTCATTCAATAAATATCCACCAGACACCAAATTTGTGCCAGGTGCTGCACTAGGTATTGGGAATAAAATGATAAAACAGAAAAGGCCCTAGAGCTCATGGAACTCACAATATAAAATTTCAGTTTTAAAATAATGAATGGTCACAAGAACAGAGCTCAATAGACCTTTCAGAGTTCATCAGGAGTCAAAGTGAGAGCGAGGGAATGGGAAAATTGGCATTCCAGATCCTTACACTTGTTGGGTTTCCAGTAAGATTTCATTTGAAGAAAGATTTAATGATAAAAGAAAAAAAAAAAAAAAAACACCAAAAACTGAAACCTAAGACTTTCTAGAAATGTGATTTCATATAGTCCTTGGTTTTCATTTTCAAATATTTTGAATTCAGGAATTTTTATAGAATATCACGACAGAGTGATTGATCTTTTTATTTCTATATTTAAAAAGACATGAATAGGCACATGTACAGTTAGAAGCATATAATGCCCTCGTTAAATGGAAATAAGATATTCTAATATTTGTCATATGATGATTAGAAGCGCTGTTTATCATTCCCTCCACTTGTGGAATTTGTGATATCATTCTTATATTTCTCCCCTTTCCACTTTATTTTCATTTTCTTAGTTTTACTTTTGGCTTTTTCTCCATTCTGTCTTAACTGTAGATGTACTGGCTAGTCTGACCTGTCTCTAACCCATCCTCTACACTCCTGCCAGAATAAGATGTCTGAAAGGCAAATATAATCATATAATTTTTCTGGTTTAAAATCTTTCAATAATTCACCATTGTCTTAAGATAAATGAAAACTCTTAAATATGGCGTGAAAACATAAGATTGTAAATCAGCCACCCAAGAGGTGATGATGGGAAAGACAATGTTGTCAGAGACTATTTTAAGCAAAGCACGGAGACAAAGAAATAAATGTTGGGCTGGTTTTCCTTTTCTCGGGCTGGAAATTTTGTGATTTTTATGTTCAACATACTGTTCTCAGATATGTCATAATATACAGAATGTGATCTTCTAATACTTGAGTGCCCTTGAGATTTGGAACCATAGACTTTATACTATAACTATAGACTTTATCTTAGACCACCCTGAGGACTCCACATACTTTTTTTTTTTTTTCGTTTCAGGGGTAGAATTTAGTGATTCATCACTTACATGTAACACCCAGTGCTCATCACAAGTGTACTCATTAATACCCATCACCCATTTAGCCCATCCCCCCCACCAACCTCCCCTCCAGCAACCCTCAGTCTGTTCTCTTAACTATACAGTCTCTTATGGTTTGCCTCCCTCTCTGTTTATATCTTATTCTTGACACTTAAAAATAATCATCTGTTGATTGCATTAGATCATCCTCTGACCCTGTTTTTATGGCTGTTATTTTAAAGTCCTCTGCATTTAAGAATGCCAGTGATGTCAGGTCTTTCAGGGACTCTTCAAAGCTCTCTTAAGACAAATATACATTCCATTGTCCCACTGCTACTAGAATAACCAGATGGACTATATAAATCAGACCCTTGAAGAATGTCTCCAGGGACACACATTCTTTAGACATGATTATAGGATTGCCTCTTTCCCTGGAGACAGAATTCATGTATACCTGCATGTGTGCCCCCAAAATTCATATGTTGAAACCTAATCCTGGATGTGATGGAATTAGGAGGTGGAGTCCTTGGGAGGTGATTAAATCATGAGGGCAGAGCCCTCGTGAGTTGGATTAAAGACCTGAGAGAACACCTTTGCTTTTCTAGCCATGTGAGATTAAAAAAAGCAGCTGACATTCTGCAAACAGGAAGGGAACTCTCATCGGAACCAGAGCATGCTGGCACCCTGATCTCACATTTCAAGGCTCCTCAACTGTGAGAAATAAAT